CACACACACACACACACATATATATATATATATATATATATTTTTTTTTTATGTATTTAATCATATTATTTTTTATTATTATTATTATTATTATTTGCATATATTTTTTATAAAAATATAAATTTTTTAAATACACAACACGCATGTAAAATTAATATCTTAATATTCATATTATTTGTATTACAAATTAATATTATTATCAAATGTAGCTTAACAAAGTATTTTAATATGATTTAGAGGCCAAATATGCTTCAAATTCCCATTATAGAATCACCTGAATTAAATCTAAAATGGTATGAACCCTAAAAAAACCTGCTGTAAATACTGCTAAACATGTTTTATTTCACTCATCTAAAACCAAAACATAATTGTATACACAAAATAAGCTTCTCTTTGATGAACAGATGAAGTCTTACTCTTCGGTCAGGTGTTTCTCCTTGGATTTGGCTTCACTGATCTTCTCTTGTCTCTTCTTGTCCATTTTCTTTTTCAGCTCTTTCTTTTCTCTGTAAACACAGACGGGACAGCGAGGGTGACTCGACATGACCTTATGAATTATTAAAGAAGCCCGTGCCATTGGTAACAGACTCACTTCTCACACAGCTCCTTGATTTTCTTCATTTGGTTGCTCTGACTGTCCTCAGCGATGGCCGTCAGCTTCTCGATCACCTACAGACACAGCGGTTAGCTTTCAGAGAGAAAACACCGCACATGTCTTTCTGACTGATTCAGTACAAAGCTTTTCTAAAGCTGCACATCAGAAATATTTAAATAATTTAGATCTGATTTCTCACATATAATTAGCAAAATACAGCTTCTCTCTGGATACATTAATATTATATAGATCATTAATATTGCACACTTGGTTGGATTGTTTTTATTTATTTGTCTTATTTGTTTTATATTTTGAAATTGTAATATTAAATTTTTTTAAATAACTTGGATTATTTACTGTGTGTGTGTAATATAAAACACATTATATATATATATATATACACACACACACGTACGCACACACACACACACACACACACACACACACACACACATATATATATTATCATTTAG